CTCGAAATCTCCATTGCTGCAGCTAGTTTTCTTCGGCTGATTTATTGTGGTACATGTACCTTGTCAGGTTAGACTAGAGGGGATCTCCAGCTAATCTGATCAGGCCCGTTCGATAAGTCAGTCCTCTCTTCCATTTTTTTAATTTTTTTTTTTTTTTCTTTATTCTGCTGCGTGCCATTCTCTAAGTCCAAATGAATTCCCGCTCCGGCTAGGAGTTCTACCTTCTACTCTGTGTGATTTACTGTTTGTTTCTTTCATCTGAACTATCTATGTCCGATATTGAGACGCGTGCGCAGGAAGCGGAAAGAGAGAGAAGGGAGAGAGAAAGTTTTCTTTTTGGGAACGTGAGGAAGGGCAAGAGGAGTGTTCGTCCAAACGTGAGGAGAGAGCGGACCTCTCTTGAGAGATCTACTAACACCCCTTCCTCCGGCATGGCAGACGTCACATCTGCCCAATGGCAGGCCATGCTGGACGCAGCGGACGAGAACGAGAAACCGTTCTTTCAAAAACTTTATGACGATGCCATACAGAGGGAAAGGGAGGCAGAGGCAGCAGCTAGAGCCTCAAGCATTGCTGATCAGGTGGCCCTCCTTCAGGTCCCGGAAGCGAATGCTGATCGGTTCCGAGAGAGGCTAGCTGCTGCCGTAGCAGCCTTGGTTCGACTGCGGACCTTGGAAGACCTTGAGTCCCGTGTGACAGCACTGGAGCAGCGGAACCAAGACCTGCAGGCTGAGATAGTCAGCCTCAAATAGTCCCAACTGTCTGCCCCCCGTCCTTCTAACCCTCGATCTGCTACAGTCCCAGTCTCTCAACCTAACACAGTCCTCATGACAAGAGCAAGTGGAACTGTGACAAGCGCAGGAACCGGTCCCAGCTCCTCAAGCGGCGGCGCCGGCAGTTTTGCACTAGTCATAGTCCCAAATGCAGGAACTTCAGCCCAAAACGCCACGTTTCTTACTGGCATACGGTACAGCGGTCCCGTAGTGGACAAGCGGGCGGCCACTCTGCCGTCCAAGTACGACGGGAAAGGGGACATCACCTCTTGGATTAGCTCCATGCGCTCATACTTCGAGGTACTGCGAACTCCGCAGGAAGACTGAAGCATGATCATGGGCACAAATACTGAGCCCGCTGTATGGAGTTTCATAGAACTCCAAGC